CTTTATTAACTCCGCAACTTCTGAAAGCGTTACTGGCTATGCTGGCAAACACATTTGAAATGGCTCTTCCATTCTCATTTCAACTGCTCCTTGAATATCTGGCGTTGTAAAGTCAAAAGGTTTGAACCTCTCCTCCAAGCTGATAGCAAAAGCTACCGCTTTCTGCGCATTTGAGTAGCACCAGCCTCCAGCGGTATCCTTGAGGGGGGCCTTGGGGACGACGATCCTTTTGAAACGGCTTGTGAGCTTCCATAGAGAGCAATTGAAGGATGCATCAGGACCAGTTCTTTCCAGCAGACTATCAAATGTATTCTGTTTGAGCTTTGCTAGTTCTTTTCGCAAACAATTGGCCAGTCTCACGTAAATTTGGTGGTACCTTACGTCGCGGGTTCTTACGTACTCTTTACGCGCTTTCCTTTTTAGCCGTAAAAGCGCGCTTACATTTGGGGGCAATGGAGCATGATGAGTTGACGAGCATTGCCTAATTTGTGCGGTAGTGGATGCGTCCATTCCTATATTGTGCATAAAGGTTGAAGATGCTACTTCCAGGTCATCCGGACTATTTATCTGAGTGTTTAAATTAATTCTTCCTTCAAAAGTATTTTGGAAGTCCTCAATTGACAAGCCATACGGAAGTAAGGGTTGACGCTTAGGTTTTATTTGTGGAGCTTGATGTAGTGTAGCGACGACCGGCAGATGATCCGAGGGTTCTACTGTTATATTGCTTGTTGGGATGCCATTAACAATATAGAAATCTAGTGCAGTTGGTCTATTTGAAGTGGTGTACGAGAAGAAGGTTGGCTCACCCGTGGCAATTATTTGACAGCTGCTGCTAACAATAGCCTCTTGTAAGTGCCTTCCTCGTGGGCACGTGCTTATATTACCCCACCATGGGTGCTTTGCATTAAAATCTCTTCCTGCAATAAACTTGTCGCCTAGGTTAGCCAGTGCTTGTTCAAAATCAGTCTTGCTCCAAGGCTGGTTGGGAGGTAAGTATAAGGAGTAAATGCTAATGCATCCACGATTGGTCTGCACACTTGCAGAAGCAGCTTGAATGGACAGGCTTGAGATGGGTGCCTGTTGAGTATGGACGATACTTTTCCGTATAATAATAGCTGAGCCACCTTTTGCGGTGTCGCTAGGGTGATTGGCAAAGTAAGGTTCGTAGCCGGGCAGGTAAACTTTTAGTCCAGGCCGCATTTTTATTTTTTCTAATATTCTAATAATTTGTTAGTCGTAGTTAGTAGTAGAAACCAGCAAAATGATATTTTCATTGCGTTTATAAACACTGGCTAATACATATGGTATATTCATTTGTATAGCTTCTCAGCTACAGACATTTCTTCGTGTCTGTAGCAGATGAACAAAGACGAGAAAGCATTAAGGTGTAGTATGCACACATATTGAGTACCCACTGTATATTTTAACTTAAAGGGTGCGCACTGTAATACAATGTTGCAGTGTTTACACAATTCAAAGTCCCGGTCACAAACCATGAGTGGCCGAAATATGAACCGATCGCTAAGGCTTAGCCTGCACTCAGAAAGTGCTAGTGTCGGCATATTTGCATCGAATGGACTACACGCGCATACCCCCTCGCGCCTCCACTTGTGAGCGCATAGCCAATGTACATAAGTACATTTCCTTATACATAAGAATATATATCCATAGCCGTCTCTCTGCCGCCGCCTGCGAGCAGCGCAGCTACGAGACCTAGCTTATATTATAACTTAAGGAATACTGTAAGATCACTAACTGATTGAGCCTTGGAGCGGCATCATAGCTGCGCCTATCAACCAACTGATTGAGCCCTGGAGCGGCACCATTGCCGCACCAAGATAGAAACCTATATAGAAACAAAAATAAAAATCATTAACAAATATCAAACTGAAATCCAAGACTTATCCTTGGGAGGAATTGTGGTTGACGGAATAAACATATTTCAAAGGATTGGGTCTTGATCCGAGGTCTGACACTCATGATCGGAAAAGCAGCTCACAACCGCTGATGGGACTTCACTGCGAAGTCTTTGAATAAGCGACAATAATGAAAATAATCAAAATTCTAAAACTGCTAGTACTTTGGTCTTTTTTTATCTCTGGTTAGAACTCGACGATGGAGCCGCAGTGAAGTTATTTAAACGATTTCGACAGTTTTGTCTGAGCTGCGCTCTATAGCTCACAGTAAGCTTGAATCAAAGTCAAGTTAAACATGATGTTTTGTACAAATTAAGGGCCTATTTACACCAGGCTGTGCTATTGCGTTAACTTAGTAAACGTATTTTTTTTCTAGTATTTTTTAGTGGTGGGAAAAAGTTGCGTCCGAGTTGCGTTCATATCGATAACAACAGATTTGTTCGATTTTCGTATCGATTCCAACAAATTTGTTCGATTTCTACTCGATATTCGAACTATGGAACAAGTTCTACCACCAAATCGAAAACAAACTAAGCAGCTGACGATTGATAATTCGAATAATTCCATCTGATTTCAAAAATGCCCGAAAACAGATTTGTGTGTCGTTGGGGGCACTTCTAGGGTTTTGGACGGAAAACGTCTTAGCCAGTCGTCCATTCCTGAGACTTGCCAGTGAAAGAATTATCAGGACCAATTGGAAGAACTGGTAGAAGAGACTCTGCTTCATCAGGAAGACAGAAACATAAATAAATCAAACAATTAAAATAAAAAGCTATAAATTTAAATTAAATATTTATTGGAAATGTACGCCAAACGCTTACCTGATGCGTTCATCACTTTCAATTGCATTTTCTATACAAGTTTCTTGATCAGGTTGTCCCTCTACTCCCTTATTGCACACTTTTGCTCTAGATACGGCAAAAGACCTCGCTATAGTGCGGTATTCCGCAGAGGATCCCAAGGCGTTCAGGGCAGCCCCTTAATTTTGAAGCTCCTCGAAGGTCGCTGGAGACATCCCAGCCAAATCCATGAAGTGCATCTTAATGTTACTCCATTGGTGATATTATCAATCTTCCGTCTTTTATTTTTTTTTTGTTCCCAATAACTTCAAACGATGGTCTAAGGAATTTGATGATCCGTACACCAAAAAACTTATATATATATATTTCTGGTTCAGCCAATACTCGAATATTAATGTGTATGTGTTAATGTGTATTGTCCCCTCAATATACAAAGTATCAAACCTTATTAAATCGGTACAGAAACAATTCCTTTTGTTCGCTCTTCGGGGTTTTGATTGGAGATTGGAGATTGAGAAATTTCTATTCTGTTCAATTTGTGGAAAGTTTCCTATCCGTCTCCGTTTTGTGTGTGTCGCCATATTCCTTGCCTTTTTTCGGTTCTCCGTTTCTCCGTTGTACATTAACGTGCCAACGGTCAAGGCGTATGTGCATCCAAAGACATACACACATGCACGCGTGCATATATCTAGCAGTGCATATCCACAAAAAGTAAAAGCTAGGGCAAAGTGAAATTGTGTGGTCAAGAAATAAAAGCCATATAATATTAGGCATCCGGTGTGCAATTGTTTCGGGAGTTTCCTGCTCGCCAAACAGTTCGCCGCTGCCGCGATATTTTTTGTGTGCCCATTTTTTTTTGCGCCACATTATTTTGGCTGTATCGCCAACTTAAATACAGTCTACTCCTCGACGCTCCAATGTACAAATAAAAGCTTTACACATACACACATATATATCCATTCGTATGCATGCCCATATATCATGTATTTTCTGCTTCCAACACAGGAACTTCAATTACAGTATTAAAAAAATTAATAATAAAAATTCATATCTACAGTATATAAAAAAAACGAGACAAAGACCAAAGCAACAAACATTTAAAACCAAACGGCAATTCAAATCAACACGGGTGCGACTACGATTGTTTTTTCCCAATTTTTTTCAAGTTATCCGCCGCACAGTAGCGCCTCTCGAACAAAAGCCGTTGCAAAAATCTAAAAAGTCATAATCGCAAAATCGATTTAAACCATAAGAAATCGACAGAGAATTTTCCAAGGATTCCGAACTGTAACCACAAATTTTCAGATTTTTTTTTAGGAAGATATGAACATTCAAAGTCGAAATTGTTTTCCGTGTATGCGCCATACAACAAAAAATAGGTAAATTAGTCGACTTACAGGTAATATTACACAAAAACTACATAACCAATGGTCGTGATTTTTTTTTAAGTGACAGGTATATTCATTACCTTTTATTCAAAAATAAAAAAAACGGTAGTTTTGTTTGGGCTTGTACAGGTAAATCGCTACCTGCCAGGTGTCAATTTTTTCACCTTTTTCTGGCTAAAGTAGTCCATAACTTCTGAATCTGCCCAGAGCCGGTGACTACACTATGACTACGCACTGCGTGTATCTTTCCTGAATCAGAATCCGTTTAGAAAGTCTGCGTCCAGCTGCGACTCTGGCATTGCGAAGCAAAACACTGAAACAACTCAGGGTAAAATATATCAAAATACCGACACAATTTCATACAAACCAACAAAAAATACTAACTGTAGCGCTCACGGTTCTGTGGCGGTTAAACTTGGAACAAACAAAAATTTTTTTTTCAGTTTTTAAATTATTTGTATTTAAGCAAATACATTAAAATAAAGATAAAAAATTAAATAAAATATATTTAAAAAAAATTGTCTTCATTGAAAAAAAATTTTTTTTTCACTTTGATACCCTTTAAAAAGGCGAATAAGTGGGCTTGCCCCATTGTCCAATACATATGTACATTTTACAACAATTACCTGTCAAATGGCGTTTAAATTATTCAGCGATCTTGTTTTGTTCAAAAGGTATGATTTTTGCAAAGTAAAATGAGAAAACGCGCTACTGTGCGTCGATCTGCTTGTTAAATAATTAATTGAATTCGAACTTCGCTAAATTAAGCCCATCCGAATTGTTTTTGTTTTTCGAACATACCTCAGGGAATTGGACGGGAACAAAATGTTTGACTTAAAGGGTAGTGTGCAATACCGAAAATTCAATATTTTATACGACATATCAACATATCGTGGCTTATTCTATCAATATATACGAACAGTTGATAAATAAATGAACAAAGTTTAAAACATGGCCATTAAAAAAAAAAAGGAACAAAAAAAGAAACCGAATGTTAAAAAAACTAAAAAGGACATTCAGTCTTTTAAAAAAGATGTGGAAACTGATAATCATAAAATTTCAGTTGAAGAACTATTGGACCGCTTAAAAACCGATCGGAATATGGTGGGTCATCCTTAAAATTACTATGAAGAGGTATTTTACTAATTATTTCCTTACAGGGACTTTCTCACTTGGAAGCCAAGCTAAGGCTGGAACTTTATGGTGCCAATGTACTTACACCAACGCCTCCAACACCAAAGTGGATAGTTTTTTTGAAAATAATGTTTGGCGGATTTGCAATACTTCTTTGGGTAGGATCTGGTCTTTGCTTGATTGGATATTTGATACAATTATATACGCAACGAGATCCCCCAGATGATAATCTTTATTTAGGTTTGGCTCTAGCCGTACTTGTGATACTTACTGGACTATTTACATACTTTCAGGTAAATATTGAAGTATTATTTCTATAATTCTAACACTTCGATTTCGAGTTACTTTTGCTTTTATTTCACTGATTTTTCCTTGCTAAGCCCTGTCTGTCCCTGTCGCACTCGTTATGCTCACCCTGCTTGCCGAAGTCAGTGTTCCGATGTCTCGTTGTCTTGTTGTGATCGCTTCCAGGTCATGCGTCGATCGAATTTTGGACTTAGCTTGATTTTCCCGTCGGTTTCTCCGCTTGTCAAAACTCTGAAATTTTCTGGTCGCGTGCAAAAATCTAAGTCCCGGAAGTCAGTGTGGCCGTTGGTTTTGTTCTCAGGAAACCCTCCCTGTGGGATTTTATCGGGGTGATTACTTCTTGGTATTTTCCGTGCCGTGATCGTGGTTTGTGTCCTGGCTTCGGCGGGAAACTCAATTATTTTCCTAGCTTATTCGATAGTTTTGGTTGCCACTTAGGGCTAACTTAAATTAATCAATTTATCGCCGCTTAAAACTACTGCAGTATATATACTTAAAACTATTGATGGGGAACTTAAACTATTTACTTAATCCTACTTATTTACATAAAATAATGATAGAAAAATGTGAATCTTCACACCCCTCTTTACTTCGGGGCGGGTGAGAAAATGGTTACGCGCCCGCTTTTGGAGAGATGGATCCGAAACTGTCTGCCGTCGATCCTTTCCTGGCGTCGGATGTTCCTGGTTCGTCGTAGTCTTATTTCCCCTCCTATCCGGGTTCGCAGTATTTGTGGGATCCTCCGTCAGCCGTCTCCACTCACCACTAGTCCGGGGCCACTGCCATGGAGGGTCCTGGTTGTTCAACCGGTCCGGATCTCGGTGCTGGCTCAGGGGAGATATCAGTGGATGAGTTTCTCCTCGACAGGGTGACTCGGAGGCGCTGATTGGGGCTTCCTGGGTATTCGACCTCCCGTACGGCTCCACATGGGATCTCCTCCCTGGTCTGATGGCCCGTTTCCAGCCTCTGTCGATGGATCCTGGCCCTGGTTCCATTGTACCGGCGTCTCCGCTTCATTGCCACCTGCGGTTGTGCGAAGTAATGCCTGCTGTTAGACGATCAAGTCTTGGACGGCGTTCACGCAATGCAATAGGTATTCCGGTAATAGTCGGACGCAAGAGGAACGTACAGAAATAAATGCATCGATACGTGCACAAATGGCACAGCTTCGCGCTCCACAAAGATCACCTCAAGCCCGACAAAATAATAGAGAAAGACGAGCCGCAAATGAAAACTTGAATAGCGCTTCATTAGCATACAATCCTGAAACAAGGATCGTACCAGCGTTGTTATTGGTTCATTGTCTGTTGTATGTCAGCATTGCAATGCACTGAAGTTTCGGTTGGAAACCCCCGGCTTATGCTGTGCAGGTGGCAAAATTAAATTGCCAGTTTTGGCTCATTCACCAGGGCCATTGTATTCGCTACTATATGGAAATTCAGCCCAGTCAAACAGTTTCCTAAAGCTTGCATAAAAATATAACGGATGCTTTCCAATTACGTCATTTGGAGTCAAGGTTTTGCATCAATCATGCTACAATCCAAGTTATAAGGTAATGGCGTCTTTTTATTATCAAAATGAACAACTCACATTTTTTCGAAATTGCATTCCAACATTCAGATTCAAGGGCAAATTCACAACCGAGCGGTTATCAATGCATTTGAGAGGGTGAAAGGCCCCATGTGCTGTTAAGCATCTGCTTGGATGCATATAGCGCTATTATGGCCTGTTTTACCCTCTACTACATTGGCCTTCCACGTCAGCTTGCTGTCAAGTACAATACCGAGGTAATTGACTTGTGATTTCGGGGTTAGCCAGGTTTTATTAATTTTTGGGGGATCCATTGCGGCACCATGTATCTCTTGATGAAGAGAATGAGGTCGGTCTTATCCGCATTGATATTGGGTCCTACCTTTTTCGCCCACTCACATATCTCCCTGAGCGTTGTTTCCATGATCGAGCTGAGGGTTGATGTTGGTCGCTTCTAGGCGATCCATTATTGCGCCCGTGCTAACATTTTTGAATGCACCAGATATATCCACGAACACTCCAAGTGCATATTCCTTATTGTTTAGGGCTCTCTCAATGGTGGCTACCAACGAATGTAGTGCCGTCTCCACTGATTTTCCCTTCGTGTAGGCATGCTGGTTGGTCAACAGTAGTCTCACTACATCGTTCCTGATGTATAAGTCCCGCAGCTTTTCCAACGATTTAAGTAGAAATGAGGTCTGTAATCCTTGGGGCTTACATGGCTGCACTTTCCTGGAGCTTATTCGCATCGGGTACCTCTGTGCATCCTGGGAAATGCGCATGCATTAGTGCTGTTAGGGCCTCTTCCCTGCCCTCATTCCACTGTCCATCGTCGCGTTTGAGCTGACTTTGTATGGTTGACTGCTTCGATAGCAGCTTCCGGAGTCTAGCCGTTTCTGGGGCAGTCCCTATATTGAAGCCGAAGTTTCTGCATGAGTTTCTCTGCGCTTTCTGTATTTTCTTCTTGTAGTCCCTTAGTAGGACTAGACTAGGACTATGTAAGTTAGATTTAAGGCGGTACGATGGTTACATTTATTTCCCGTCACCAAACCGTACTCATATCACCATTGGAAGGCGTACTCACATCTCAATTGGAAGGCGAGCTCACACGGACACGGAAATTTACCACGAAGAAGTGGTCACATGACCATGCGCTGCATTATAGCGAGCGAGAGAGCATTCGATCGTGCTATAAAAAAATCCCCGAAAATTGGCACGCGCCCAAAGGAAAAAGCGAGCCATGCTTCCGATGCCACAAACTTCGAGAAGCCAAAACTGAACCGCGAAAACTTCGCGAAGCCAAGTTAAAGTTTTAGTTTCCAAGATGTGGTCGATTGACGCTGAAGGAAATTTGCGAGCTGGAAAGGGCGTTTGCCACTCCGAGTGCGGGAGTGAAATCTACGGAGCACCGGATTTCTGGCCAAGAGACGCCCCCCGGGAGACCCGCCCCACCTAAAGGCGAAGAGTGAGACCCAGCCGTGGAGTGACACTGAAGAAACGGACACCACGAGGAAGGAGACCCAGCCGTCGAGTGACGCTGACAACAAGGAGACCAGAAAGATTTGGGAAACGGTTGAGCCGGCGCAGGACCAACGGCGGAGCACCCACCTTTCTACCACGTTTTTTTTTTATTTATTTATTTATTATCAACAATACGAACTCACTAACACAAAAAAAAAAGAAAAGGACAGGGCAAGGGTCCGCGATTGTGCGGTACGGCCGCAAAGCATAGCATTGCTTCGCACAACGGTAAGCCGCTCATCCAGTCTCCTCCCTCCCCGATCTCTCCAGTGCCTTGAGTGATCTCATCAGTTGGGCAGCGCCGCCTCCATATCCGCCGCCTCCCATAACCTCGGGTCCGCCAGCATCAGCGGCACCAGCGTATCCACACTGATGGCTGCACCTGCTATCGCCTCCAGCTTGTCCCTTTCCATCCGAAGGAAGGCATTTAGCCTTGCTGCTATCACCTTTTCGAACACCTTGCCAGTGGTGTCGGTAAGGTAGGTAGGCCTGCTGCCTGGCTTAGCCAGTAGCAAGAGCTTTTGCTTCTTCCATCTCTCCGGAAAGGTACCCTCCTGGAGGCATCTGGCGTATAGGGGGGCGAACTCCTTTGAAGCGCGATAGCCAGCTTCTGGGCCCTGTTAGGTACTGCGTCCGGCCCAGACGCCTTCTTGGGGCGAACGCTCCTTCCCGTTCGGATCCGCACTGGGCTGCGTCATCACCACCGGGGCTCCCCTCGGGACAGTGCCTGCACTATGGAGTCCAGGGCTTGCGGGTCCGAAGGAGCCGTGCTGCCTGCTTTCAGCCCTTTGACCACCAATCTGTAGGCGCCACCCCAGGGGTCGTTTTCCGGCTCGTCGCAGAGCCGCAGAAAGCATTTTCTCTTTGCCTCCTTTATGGCAAATTTTAGAGCCCTCCTAGCCAGTTTGTAGGCTTCGCTGCACTCGACCAGTCGTGAGGAGCCACGTGCCCGGGTCATTTGCCTCCGACCATGAAGGCACTTGGACCGGAGATCGGATCTCGTCGCTCCACCAGAACGTTGGCCATTGGTTCCTCGGACGTGTCCCTCTCAGCCGCACGCTCTGGTCCCAGGCATGCTCCAGGGCTGCTGCGATCTGGTTTGCAGCCTCGTTAGCTTCACCCAGCGCCTCAGCTGACATGCCGTCCACTGTGTATAGGATCGCCTCGTGGTCCCTTCCGGTATAAGCGTCGCTGACTCCCCAGCTAGCGTCGTGGAAAATTCCGCTGCTCACAAAGGTCAGGTCGATTATTGAGGCGGCTCCTGCTCTGGCAAACGTGTGCCTCATCCCGTCGTTGAGGAGGACTACGTCCGTCGAGGCAAATGCCTCCAGCACCGCGCGTCCCCTGGCGTCTGTGGAGACGGATCCCCACTCGAGGGGCGTTGAAATCGCCTCCGGCTACAACCTTGGCCCGCATATCGCTGCATAGGTTGTCCAGGATCCTGCTGAATGCTTCCAGCCGGAGACTGGGAGCCAAGTAGCAGCTGTAAATGCAAAAGCCGCTAACTTCCGCCCGCACAAATCCATCGGCTGCCAGGATGTTGGACATCCGCCGCTGTCCGTCGCCACAGAGCCAAAGGGGAGCGGTCCTCCGCCCATGGCTCTCACCCGTTCTGCCTCGAAGTTAAATTGGCCGGCAATAGCGGCGCAGACCTCCTTCTTCGAGGTGATAGAGTCAGTGTTCCGTACCTCCAGAACCAGCACTTTCGTGTCCTCCGTCGACGCACGCACAGTCGCGGAGTCACCGAGCACCCTCTCGATGCTCTCCTTCATATCCTCGGGGCTCTCAACACTCCCTTTGGCCAGGTTGCCGTTGTTGGTGCGCCGAACCTTGGAGACACAGGCGTCCAGGTCCGACAACTGCTTGTCGTCCCTCCTGGTCACCATGGCTAGTACCACGCTGTAGGATTTGCCGTTTGCTTGCACGATGACAGCAT